GGAAAGAACCACTGACCCACAAGATGTTACTGGTATTTTATTCTTCAGTGCTAACTACTGACCCTGAAAACCAGTCCATTTTCACACACCTGTTATGAGAGATCCCCTGTCTTGAAAGACCATTTTTGATTGGCAGAAGAAACGGTCTCTCAAGACAGGTTTCACTGTACTGGTTTGACTGGGCAAAGCCTGATTTAATTTCTTAGGTATTTTTGTTTTTCAGATTCTCCAATAAAGAAATCCACCTTGCTTACAGAAATGGACCAAACTATTAAGGTTTCTGAATAGCACAATACACTAATTAAATTCACAAACTGTACATCTTTCATTCAATTCCAAACTAATCTTATCCTTAATTTATTTTATCTACTCAGTATTATCTGTTAAAATTTTATTTTATATTTTCCTCTTCAGCTTGAAGTACACATCATTCCATTTAATACATCAAGTGTATTATTTTGCAAAATTTGTTCTTGTTCTATGGAAAAAATATTATTGTCAAAATCTCTTAAAACTTGTCTTTAAAGGGGGAGAATTTACTGTAATCCTTAACCTCTGATTCTCAATAGTTAATGGTTCCTTAAATTCACTTGCTTTCATGATCTAACTGGTATGTACAAGATGCTTTCTATCAAGTCTGATCAAATTCTACCTGTGATTGGAAAAGTTATTTAAAGTGAATAATTTGATGGCAGGTTGGCATCATTTGTACACATTAAAAATGTCTTCAAGCCAGCTTCTGTCAGTTTAGTCAAACTGTGCTGAGTGGTTTTTTTTGTATTCAATTGTTCCAAGGATTTTCTCTTTATAATAATGGCAGCCCTTTTTGATGGCAGATTAGTATCATTTGAACAACTTTTGTTTTCGTTATATTGGTCATATTTGTTCAAAAGTTTCTGGGAAGTTGTTTAAATGTTTTCAAATATGCAATAATGGTGTCCATATCTGATAATAAATCAACATCGTTTGAAATAAAACTGAAAGAGCTTCAGGTTGTGATATTATTGTCAAACTTGGTCAAATTCTGTTGAGTACTTATTTAAAATAACAATTGTGACTAGACTATGGATGATATATGACATACACTATGCATGAAAAGCAACATCTTACCATAAGCTCACTTGACTTTATGGCTTGGTAAGCTACAAATAAATTATGACCACAATCAACTAAATTAGTAAAAAAGGGCTGCAAGTTTATTATTTACCATATGACTGGCAAAATGTTGAATTTTAATATATTCAGCTTTTGGAGTTTTGTAACTTCAATCCCAATATAAACTTTTAAGAAGTTTGAATTTTGAAGATTGCTTTTTTAAAAAAAAAACATTATTCTGTTAAATATACCTGTATGCCATGAGGTTAACGGGCAGATAGACATCTACATTAGTGAATCCAAATGTTTGCCATTTCCCAGCATGTAGTACACCAGTCCTATCTCCCCACAGTCGCTTGACACGGACATCTATGAATTCAACAGAAGTGTTGCTCAGGATGGCCACATGGGCATTACCAGCAATATTGACATCTAAGAAGGTATAGTTAGGATTACTGTCAAACAACCAAGTCACACCACCAGCTTGTTGAATGTCTTGGTAATCTCCACTGAAAAGGTTCCGCAGGGTTCCCATGCTGTATATTGGAGCATGTGGGTAAGGATTTCCATTATTGTCAACTGTCAGCTTTTTGGCTAGAACTTCATGACTAGACTTATTTACAGATTCTACAAAAACAGTACCAGCTCCACCTGCCTCAGTGCTACTCTTGCCTAGTGAAAAATTCAACATTAAATAAAATTTGATTAAGACAGCAAAAGAAAACCTAAACTAAAATTTTTACAAAATAATATTTTACACAGTTTGCAATACATATTTGATATTTTCTTTTCCTACATTAATACTAGATATTTTTTATCATGTGGTTCCACAAACTTTATAATTTCATGAGTGGCAAAGCCAAAAATTATAAAATAGAGTTTTTAGTACCACAAGATGAAATATTTCCAGTATTAATGTAGGAAAATAAAATGATCTTTTTGTTATATAACAAACCTGCTCCAGAATCAAAGCTTACAAGACTAAACTTGCTCTTCAACAAAACCCCTCTCCCCGCCCCCTTTTCATAAATTCATCTTTTTTATGGCCTGATCATATAAATATAGGTGACTTAATCTGCCGCAGGAAATTATATTTGTGTCATTTCAAAAAACTATATGACCCTATCTGAAAACAATGCAAGTCCAATTCAGCTTATGGATTTCTTTGTATGTTGTCAAGTAAGGGGAAATAACCTCAGAGAGAAGGAAACAGCATCTGGTCTAATTTCATTATCAAAATTAGTTTCCATTTCTGAAATGTAAGGCAGGTTCTATTTATTTATTCTAGCTCAACCAGTACTCATTTTTTTTCTTGCATGTACACAATTTGCAGACACACGAAGTAAATCATTATATGGCATAATGATAAATCTTATGTAAGTATATATTTTTCACATATGAAAATATATAAGCGAAAAAAATAAGGAAATTATTTCACCAGTAAGTCTCTATATTTCACACTAACTTAATGTATATAATAGGCACAAGTATTCAACAAATCCAAGAATTTCACATTCATGTGCATTCACATATTGATGAATCATCCCCGTATCTAACTCGCATCTGATTTGCAAACCCTTAACACAAAACTAATGCAAAACATGATTACCATTGACAATACCATTAATGCTGCCATTGCAGCCTCTCATCCCAAACCAAATAAGGAATTATTTTAAAAAAGTTTCCAATACTCTGGAACTTTGCTCTGAAATAGTATTCCAGTTGAGATTAGAAATTCCCACTCTATTTCCTTTTTCCAAACCCAGTATATACTGTGGCTTCAGAGATGCAGCAAAAATAAGAAATATTCCTTTGAATGAGGGCCTCAAGGTAAATTAGTTCTTAGCTAATTGAGTTTAAATAAAATGATAATAATAATAATAATAATAATAATAATAATAATAATAATAATAATAATAATAATAATAATAATAATAATAATAAAATGATACCTACGAATCATGATAATGCAGGTGAGACAAAAATATCTACCTGAAAATTTAATCAAAGGTCTTTAAAGGGACTCTTTGCTATTTACATTATAACCAGGAAAACATTTAATATGAATATATTCAAAGCATATTTCCAATTTATTCACCTCCAAATGCCTGCATAGTGACATTGAGCTTGTTGATGTTATCACACTGTACAGAGATTCGTCCTCCTGCACCTCCCCCTCCAACTACAGTCCCCTCTCCTCCATTACCTCCACTGGCAGTCATCAAACCATGGCCATAGATTTCTTCACATACAATCCATATACTGCCACCTGCTCCTCCTCCTGAAATGAAATTAAATCACAAATTGACAATATCATAATTTCTAATCAAACAAAATGTTTCATTCTAGTCAGCACAGAGACATAATTATTAGGGTATTCATCCAATTAAATTTTTGCACAGGATGAGATTCAGTGGGGTCAGTTTTCATTAGAGAACATTATAAACTGATTGACTATGTTTTAACAAAATACTTGTTATAAATGTTTAATCAACAAAAATAAAACTAGCAATTGTTTATTCCATTATCAGCACAATAACAGTAATAAAGCATTATGTTAATGAAACTTTGTCATATGATTTAGAACTGTATGTAACAGCTGCCTGCCAAATACCAAAAAGTAGATTTTTGCAGTTGGTAAAATGCTTTCAGACACTAGTCATAATCATTTAAAGGATTTCATTGTTCCAATGCAAAATAACCTTTGAATAAATGGCTGATTTTGTACATGATCAGGCACTTAAGTGATTAATTTGAGCTATTAATATTAACGAAGGTCCCTGGGTTTTTGGACAGCTCACAGCAAACTGTACATGTAAATTTTAACATAATTTATTAGCTCATAATAGAACATGTCTTGTCCACTTGTCCTGCTAGGTTCTGGGCAGAGAAAGACAATTATCATATCAATGTTTATTTAAAAAAACATGACTTACTGTCTCATTATATTTTTTGTCTGATCAAATAAACAGCATAAGACAGTAGTAGTTGCAGTAGGGTTTAACACAGCACAACACTAGGCCATTGCTTCATATGGAAGCACAAAATGAAATAATATTAGCTCTCCATTATTATCTATGTTTCTTTATGCAAATCTAAATACATTCAACTTCATTCATTTTTCTAGGTATGTGTATATTACTGTATGACAATTATTCTTTTACCCAGAAGGCATGAAACAGCCCTCACACAAATCAGTGCAAAAGACACAAATACATGAAATATGACAGTTGTTATTTAACTCAAAAGGCATTTGCTCTTGTAAACTATTTTATCCTTATCGTTATTACAGTAATTATAATTTTGATGATGTCATAAATTGGTTAACTTCCTAACATCAACACAAAAGACAACATGGATGTATAGACAATAAATCTAAATACAGACAAGGCTGTGTTCTATAATGGGCAGTATTGGGTCCCTTATTATTTTTAATTTTTATTACTACAGGTCTCTTTTGATAACTTGACAGCAACAGGGTCAAAGAACAGTAACTGCTGCATAGGTAAGATTGCAAGTTATGTAGGCAGAATCAAATCTTAGTTTACATTTAGAGGGAGAAGGTGATGAGGTTCTTAACAAGTTTTGTAGATAACTGAGAATCATAATGTTCATTGTGCTAGACAAATACAAATACTGTCTTATGTATCTTGATAGTAATGTGATTATGATGTGATTATGATTTTTAATGCAACTTTAACAATCTTTCAGTCATATTGATACAATATCTGCAGTTTGGCAGTTTATAGCGATGTCTAGAACTTGGGGCATCATGCCACATATATGTAGCATGATGTCCCATCTAGTCACATTATCTTGACATCAGGCCAACCAGTCCTAACACTAACCTCTTAATGCTGAGTGCTAAGCGAGGCAGCTGTTAGTACCATTTTTGTAAGTCTGGTATGACTCAACCGGGGATCAAACCCACAACTTCCCACATCTGAGGCGGTCACTCTAACCACTAGGCCACAAGAGCAGTTTAATATTTATGAATAACAGATCTGAAGATGCCAGCTAAAGTCAATAAACTGATGGGAGACTTTCAGGAAGAAATCAAGCTGAAATGATGTGCCAACAATTTTGTGAAGTTGCTTCCATTTTAAAGTCAGAACAAATAGTCATCTTAAAACAATGGAACAAAACACATCCATCATACCTGTCAACTTTTTAAAAGCCAAGTAAGGAGACTGAATAAAAAAAATAAGGAGACTGAGACCTAAAATCAGAAGTTTTTTGCAGCATTTCTTTAGACTCATCTTCACTAAATATTGAGCACCCTTCTTGGACTGGCCCTACAACATACTTCAAAGAAGCCATGTTCTACAGTGTGTGTTATGTAAGCACCAGCAATTGGCAAATAAACATAGCCTTTTTTTATTGTAACTATTGGTGCCTAAATACAGTCTGAAGCTATCGTACATGTGGCAACTATCTTTCCCCCCTTTTGTATCCCACCTTATTTCCTTATTCTCAACTTGACAGGCATTTATTATTGTTTACTAAATAACATATTTATCCTGAATTAGGTTTTTGAGGGCACTTAAGCTGCATGGTATGTTTCTTTGTTCCTTCTTTTAATTTAATGATGGCAATTAATGTTTGTATATAAATAAGTATGGAAAATCAAGACATAATAATCAGAAGTATTCTGCAAAAATTAATAGATATTATGAAATCGGGAGGTAGGCATGGAGTGACCTTGAAAATCAGGAGTTTTTTTTAAGCATGAGAGTTGACAGGTATGATCAATATATGTACACTTGCAAATTCCCCAAGACAGTGATTTTTAGTGTCATCGAACAATTCTTTATTGATGCTACATATACATCATTTGTACTAATCAAAATAGTTAATGTATGACAGGTACATTATCATGTCCTATAACAATATATCTAGATTAAAAAAAAATAAAATTAAACAAGACTGAGAAAAGATAAAAAAAATAAATGTTTGCTTTGTTAGAATTGCTAGCTGTGCTTAAATGTATCATTGCAAACTAGGTGGTTGACTCATCCAAGGTGATCACCATTACAGATTGCAAACATCTTATCTCTGTCTGAACATGGGTTTGAGTCTCAGCACAGTCAGTGTGAGTATGTGAGAAAGCTTCCCAGTAGCTTCTTATGGGTCAGTGGTTTTTCCTGTGCTTTTCCTGAGGTCTTCAACCAACAAAAATACACTGGGTGCAACGTATAGCCTAACAAACACTAAAAACAATGTCAAACCCATACAACCAACTAACCAACAGATTGGCCAAAATGCAAATACTTGGGAGCAGTTTATGATGTGTGATTTAATCTAATTTAGCCACTGAGTAAGCACTTATTTAGGTCTCAACATAAGTGGTTATGAACGTTGCCATGACAGTCAACAAATTTGTTTTACATCTGAACATAAAAGGCTACAATTATGATTAACTTGAAACTGAATTAAAAAAATAAATTTAAAACAAATGCATCAATCTTTTTCAAATCAGTTTTGAATGTGGTTGTTTAACATTAAGCAAGCTGAAACCAGCTGTTTTGCCTTTTCTATAAAAAAAAAAACATGGGAGCCATACTCTATCTTATAAGCAGATTCACGAATTATTATAAGGCATATTAAAATAATAAAGCAGTGTTACAAAACACCAATACAAATCTATTTGCTGATAACAACAAAATTACATGTTTCTGCCCCAATCCTTAAATGCTGTGTCATTTAAATCCAGTTAAACTAAGATCTGAAAAATATTGAACTCAATTGTTAAAATAACTAAATGCTTTCTTAAATGAGTGCAAGCTATTAACTGCAGCTCAAATATTTGCTCACATCGACTAGAAGTAGATTTAAGAACAAACATCTGAAAATGTTTCTAGATGTAAATTTCCTGGAATAATTATTGAAGTGTACAGGTAGAAAATATATTTAAATTGCTTTCTTCCTGGATAGCACTTCTAGCTAAATTAAAAGACCACCTACCTCCTCATGTCCACGTCCAAGATTTTAATGCAAATTAAACCACTGCTAGATGTTGTTTTAACGTACGGTGAAACCTCTCAAAATAAAACCATCAAAGAAATTTTAAAATCACAATAGACAGCAACACATATCAAGAAACCTTTTAATGCACATTCTGAAGCCTGTTCTGGAAATCAAGCTATATGCAAATAAGACAATGAACTGATCTAAGCAATATCTTTGACCAAAGATATGCTGATGGTACTCCAAACTTAAGGTCCATAAGAAGCAAAAATTACATTATACCAAGGCCAAAGAAAGAATTGCTTAAAAAAAGTTTTCAATATATACTGGTCCGCTGGTATGGAACAACATTACCAGTGACATAAGGCAGGCTGAGCATTTCTTCTTTTCTTAATCAATGTCTCAAATGGATGAAATGTGTTCCAGGCTTGATACTTTGACTTTTAACATTAATTATTTAGTGTCAAGACAGATTCTTCACATCAGGTTACATATACTGTATATATTGTATATATCTGATAGAAGGCCTGAAGGTACATTAGTTCTGTAACTATTTTGAGTTACCTTCTCTAATTAAAGTCTTTATTATTATTATTATTATTATTATTATTATTATTATTATTATTATTATTATTATTATTATGTAAATTGCTTTCTTCCTGGATAGCACTTATTACATTAAAGCCACTTATAGCATATTAAGCTTTAAATGGATTTGCACCCTGCTACTGGTATCTACATCACAGTTTTGACTCGGCATAATCTAGTTCAGCACTACACTCTAGAAGCTGGGACTCTCTTGATAACAAAACATAAAATACAGCAATTTATGAAGTGCTTTACATTTTCTGGAGTTCTTGTCTGGAACAGCTTGCCTTTTAAGATAAAACGAAAATAGTTATCTAAGTGACTTTAAAAAATGCTTATAGTAATAGAAGGGGTGTTTTTGGAGCTGGTTGGAGTGGCAATGGTCATCCAGTTGGGCGACAATGTTAGCCTGAGTGGAAATTAATGCGAGCCAGTGGTTAGCTGGTTGAGAGTCAGAGGGTAGCCAGTCAGGGGTCAGCTGTCAGCCTCATCAAAACTTTAAGAGAAAAATGTGGGTTGGACAGGCCCACCCAACCCCCTTTCAAGTGGCCAAAAATGGGATTTTTTTTTTCACCTATGTAGGAATGTTGTAGTATTCTGGTTAAAATGTGCATCAGATAAATTAAGCAAATGGATTACCCTTGCACTCACCCTTAAACTGCAGAAATACTCCAAAGGATTTTATCATAAGGGTAAATTTCCCCCTCGTCATAAAAATAAGGCAGGATTAGAACAAATATGAGCAAGAGGAACAAACAGCAATTGTTCAAATTTTACATAACACTTCAATATCCATCTCTCTTTTATCCTGCTCCACTGTAATATCCCTACTGAAATCAAAATCTTTAAAACATGTTGCCTCTAGTTTTATGAGCATTAATTTGTTGATGTTTCTGAGCTTAATCTGTTTCATATATGTCTATGAATATTGCCATTTATTGAGACCCACTTTCACAGTCTGCTGTCTGGAGGGTCATAATCATAGTTAGCTTTGTTAGCTTAACCTGTTCAAATATGTATTTTATCAAATAAATCTTAATTTCATTTTTAGATTCTTATTTACTAGGGTTATCATAACCTTTATGCTAGGGCTATATGGTTTGGCAGCACATGATCCTAAAATTCTAAATTATGATAAGAAAAGAAAACAAAATTGCACTCTAATTTTAAATTGTTTGTAATTTTATTCAGCTTGTTTATCTGCTTTTCTAAATTTAATTTCAAAAATACCAATGCAATGAGGGGTACACTGGCATGCCATTTCAGTCTGCTTTTATCCATCCAGCATGTACATTGGAGTTGTATTTAACACCATTTTCAGGTTCAAAATCACTCAGTAGAATCTCCATTAACACTTTCACAGCTCTAAAAATCTGATAAACTTCCTAACATTAAAACTAAAATTGGCTTCATTGCTATGATCTGAGAGTATTTGCCAATGAATATGAACCACACTGTCATTATTGGCCATTTTGGATCTTTAGAAAACCCAAATTATAAATGTTCATCTGTAAGACTTCCTTAATGCAATATTCAATCTACAACAGAATACAAGTTATGGGGCTCAATAAATCAAATTTAATAAAAAAAAACCCATTAATTTCAAGCCAAAGAAACCAGATGTATAAACAGTTACTGTAAAATACATGTTGCAACAAGTGCCACAATATTTCTACCCGACTGACTTACATCAAGACAATAACTTTAAGGGTGAATAGGATATTAAAATTGAATAATCAACACAGAGTATATTTTTATAAGTGCAACTTGAGACTAACTTGTGGGAGTTCATAGAAATTTTATAATAATCACATGGTCATGCACCCTGGGAGCATCTCTAAACTTGATTATGATGACCTAATTTGCACTACTGCAGCTGTATTGTGAAAGCTTTTCATGTCCTAGAGGGGAACATTTTTGGCCACACTGATGAAGACATCAGCCAATTCAGTGTTCAGCACCAGGCAATCGGCATCCATGTTACCTGATTGTAGTAAAACACATACACAAAGTGCTTACTCAAGTCTTGCACAGCTAATAGTAAAACACACAAAGTGCTTACTCAAGTCTTTCACAGCTAGACCTTTACACACAGGGTGGTTTAGCTGGCATTTTAAAAATATAGAGCAACAACAATGCCAACAAAGATGTTTTACAAGAGGAATGCCAAGTCACCAATCGAATGGTATATCTTATCTTCCTCACAATTAGGCCTTACAGCCTGCTGATCATTTACTGTAATAATCTGGACATATCTAGCTGTTTGCTTTTGCATGTCAATGACTTACCAACGAAATGCCACCACAGATGTCTTTCTCAAAAAATAGGTGCAAGATGATGTCAGCAGTTTGAGCTTGGTACCTGTAATTTTTAGTTGGGTGTCCCAGCTCATTCCAAGTAAACTGTAGTTATGAGTTGGTCAAGG